GGCTCCAAGCACATTAGACAAACAGTGGATGCTAGTGCATCCTTTCAATGTATATTCCTCATTTTGGGCCTGCTTTTTCTTTTGTAATCTTACATTCCTCTCCAAGGAATGTAAACACAAACATCAATTCTCTTTTTGCCAATTATCACAGTCCTGGGATGAGCTGAAGTTAAAAATGTAAGCACAGTTGCAGTCACATAATTTCCTCCTCAGTGCCCATGTCACTTAGTAACTGAGTTGTAGTGCCAATTGTGGTTACTAAATGAATACTACATGTATAAATAGTCACAAAGTTAAGCAACTGTACAGAATATAATTACCTCAGAAGAGACAATTGCTTATCACACAGCAATAAATGAGGGCCAAACTCAATTTGATCTTTAACATGTACATTTCAAAAGCTGGAAGGGGAATGATTAATCTTCTTTTCTCATCTGTGGCAATCTTAATGGCACTCTTCCTAATAATAATTTTCATTAATAGTAGGTGGATTTTTAAAAAAAATCTAGTAAATAAATCAATACAGACATACATTTGACAACATTTTTAGCTTTGACATGAAGAGGCCACTGGTGAATAGATGCGATTATAAACTTAGATATAAGATAAGGATTGCTAAATACTTGGGTCAGAGTTTAGACCTGTATATGTTATTATACTGAAATTATTTCTGTCCCATCTTTCCAATTCTAAGGACAGCACTGGCAGCAACAAACATTGCTAAGAAAAAAACATACACTGGGAAACAACAAATAAAAGCAAATGTAAACCAAATCTTTAAAGCAGGAGAACAGTTTCAATCCCTTTCTTTAACTGCTTATGATATTTTTTTGTAACAACTATAATATCAGTATTTAAAAACTCTCAATAAATGTCATAAGGCTATTAATAATAATAATCTTCATAATTGTTTATCTGCCTCTGATAAGTCCTATTAAACATCAAATGTGAGTGTTTCTTTACAATGTGGTTGTACAGGTCAAAAAACAATGTTTGGTATTAATAGTTTATATATGTGGGAAAATAAAACTATTGGTTTCTAATGAGGAAATATATTGCAGGTAGTCTTTGCTTAGTGGCCACTATGGGGACTGATAAAATGGTCACTAAGCAACATAGTTGCTAAGCGGAAAATTACACCATCATGACTTATTGTGCTTGTCACAAGCGAAAGTGCATGTTGTTTGAAGTATACAAATAGCAATCACATGACTGAGGGGCTCTGCGATGGTCATAAATGGGGAGATTGGTTGCAATGCTTTTTTTTTTTGCACCATCATAACTTCAAATGATTGCTGCACAAGACAATTGTTAAGCAAGGACTATCTATATTGAAGTACATTATTAAAGCTAGCTGGTTCTTCATGTCTGGCTTAGTATCCTATGAATCTCATAAACTAAACTATAATCATATGCTTTCTGCAAATGTCAGTTTCTTCCAGAGTGTATTTTCTTAGTTTACCTAAGGTCAAACAGGTTTGGTGTGAAATGAACATACATAAAATTCCAGTTATAAACACTTAGCTGTCCACTTTAAGCCTA